GGAGGACGTGGAGATGATGGGGGTTTTGCTGCCTTGCGCCTGCACGGGCCAGGCCGGCCCGCAGCCCTGAATCATAATGGCCATAGTCTCCAGGCCGGCCAGCAGTGTCCGGCAGCTCTCCAGCAAAAGGGCTCCCTGGGCTCATCGACATTCTCTGGCGGCCACCTCTAACTGGTGGACACGGCCCTCCCATTTGTACCTTCAGAAATGCATAGCCGGGGTCCCTGGGGGCTGTAGTAGGGACAGCTGGGGTCCCTGCTGTGGTCAAGGCCTGGATTTCATGCGACTCCAGGGCCACTGGAACATCCATCTCTATGGGTCTCCCAACAGGAGGGCAGCCAAGCATGCGGGCAGCCCTGGGCAGGGACGCCTCCTCACCTGGCGTTTCGCAGCATGAGTCCTATGAGGGGAAGCCTTCCATGGCATGTGTGGGAGCCTCTTGTGGGCAGGCCCGCCGAGGATCACCACCCCGGGGTGGGAAAGGTGTTCCCTGGTCAGTAGTGAATAAACAAACAGGGAACCGGAAGTCCTTGCCAGCCCAGAACGCTGCCTGGGGAGCCAGCGCGTGGTCACCAGGGCACACCAGAGCTCTGCACGCGCCGGGCTGCGTTTGCGCCGCACAGGTCCTAGAGTTTGAGGACAGTGTGATGGTTGCTCATGGTGTAGGATTTCTCTCCTGGCAGGGGGGACGGGGTCACAGAACCCCTGCACAGCGCTCTCTGTGCCCGTAGACCCCAGGAGCCTCTTAGTTTTGTTGTGGTCTTGAGGATGGCACGACGTGTCCCTGAGCGCCCTCAGTGTGGACAGCTGGGCTTTAAACTCACTTCAGACCTGCCATGTGGGGGTGGCCCCTCTGAGGGCTTGAGGTTATTTTCTTGTGCAGTTTCTCCCTCCCGGCCTAGGCTTTTCTGTTTTTGCAGCCCTTTGGTGTTGGTAAGAAACAAGGTCCCTTCCCCTTTTAAAGCCCACAGACCTCCCCGCCCCGACCAGCACTGTCAGGGCGTCAGGGTGTCTGAGCTCAGCTCCTTCCTGGCGGCATCCTGCAAAAAGATACACTCGCTCCATGACTTGGAAAAGCCGCGTTGGTGTGGCTGAGAACTGAGTTCTTTCCGCCTGGGGCCGCCGCTGTTGGTGTTCGTTCCAGAGGAGCTGGAGCTGCCTGTTACTGGCTCCCCGGCCCCCACCCCGGGACCCCCGGACACTGCAGAGCCCCTGTGGGTTATGGGCCCCCGGACCAGGACCTTGGCCTAGTTAGGGGAGTCAGAAGTGGAAGTGGAGGCGGGAGTGGAGTGTATGCCCCACAGGGGGCTGTCCTCCGGCTGGGGACCTCCACACAGGCCCACTGGGTCAGGATGGCCCCTGCCTGAGCTCTAGGAGAATGGATGGACTCGTTAGGGGGCTCAGAGAGACGCCTGACCGGGGATGGTCTCCCAGCAGAGGGGCTGGGCTCATCATGGGCCCCTGGGCTCCTCCTGTGGCTCCCAGGAGAGGGAGGAGCCCGGAGGAGGGTGGGTGATACCTGCTGTGTGTGCCTGAGGCAGGGCTCCACAGAAGCCTCTCTCCGGGCCCAGGGGATGCAGACGTAGGAGGAGGAACTGGCCCTTCCGCCTGGGAAGGGGAGTCCCCCTTTACAATGTCTGCTCAGTGGAATTGATGTCTCTGCCATTGCCTTCGGGCCAGGACGGCAGCACCTGTGTGTCCTGGCCGCCGCCCCTCTCTTGCAGATGGAGGCAGGGCCATGCCCAGGTGGCCTGGTGGCTGTTCCCTGCCCATTCTCTCCTGCATTCCTTCCGTGTGAGCTCAGCTGCTGCACTAAGGAAGCGAAACCTTGGGGCTGCCCCGTGCGTCATGCAGTGGGCATGGCTGCCGTGCTGACCCGCCGTGGTTGGCCCTGGGTGGCTCCTGGCCTGTTTCTCCTGCTGCTCAGGATGTTAGTGGAGCTCACAGGGCTCAGGTTGAGCCGCCTCTTCTGCCCGGGGGTCTGTGGGGGTCATGGTCCTGAAGCCAAGCACGTGGGGCTCTTGTGAGCGAGGGGTCTGCTCTGGCATGCCCACCCTCTGTGGTAGTGTTTTCACACCTGTGTCACATAGGGTGAGAAACATGCTTGATGCTGCATCTCAGCACACACACTCACAAATCTGTACATGCACACGTGAACACACGTGCACACGTGTGTGTACGCGCACACATGCACACAGATGTGCATGCAGACATGAGCACACAGACACCAGAACACTAGAATCGGCCGCATCCACCTCACTTGGCTGATGCCCCCTTCTGCTTGAGTTCATTACAATTAACACGCATCCGGCAGCATTTCCCGAGCGTCAGTCCCGATCTGCTTGATCCGTTTGAACCAGGCTGCCGAGAGCGCTCCAGGTCCCAGCATTCTCCTCTCTGCTGGTAACTCTCAGGCGTCGTCTCTGGCTCATGTTCTCCTGGGCGCCAGACCCATCTCACACACTCCCTGTGTGGCCTCCCTGCCCCGGCTCCCAGGCGCTCCTGGGAGTTAAAGCGTCCAGGCTCCTGGTTCATTGCTAAGTATTTAGTTGAGTGCTGAGCCTGCTCTGCTGCAGCGTCCCCGCCCCTAGAACAGAGGCCTGCATGGTACGTGCCTCTCTTCTCCTCTGACATCCCGGAGCGTCCAGTGGGTTTCCCGGCATATGCCAGGGCCCTTGGCTAAAATCTAGTCTCCGCTGAGCAGCCAGAGGGATCTCTTCTGGTTGTTTTTTTGTTTTTGTTTTTTAAAAATTTTTATTTATTTTTTTGAGATGGAGTCTCGCTGTGTTGCCAGGCTGGAGTGCAGTGGCGCGATCTCTGCTCACTGCACTCTCCACCTCCCAGGTTCAAGCGATTCTCCTGCCTCAGCCTTCCAAGTAGCTGGGATTGTAGGCGTCTGCCACCACGCCCAGCTAATTTTTGTATTTTTAGTAGAAACGGGGTTTCACCATGTTGGCCAGGATAGTGTCGATCTCCTGACCTTGTGATCCACCTGTCTTGGCCTCCCAAAGTGCTGGGATTGTGGCCATAAGCCACCACGCCCGGCCTGTTTTATTTTTTTTAGAGACAGGGTCTCACTCTGTCATCCAGGCTGGAGTGCAATGGCACAGTCACAGTTCACTGCAGCTTTGACCTTGCGAGCTTAAGCAGTCCTCACATCTCAGCCTCCTGAGTAGCTGGGACTACAGGCGTGCACCACCACACCCAGCTAATTTTTAAATTTTTTGTAGAGATGGGGTCTCACCATGTCACCCAGGCTGGTCTTGAATGCCTGGGCTCAACTGATCTTCCCGCCTCTGCCTCCCAAAGTGCTGGGATTACAGGTGTGAGCCACCGCATCCAACCCAGTGACCCAGTGGGATCTTTTACATGTAGCTGGCCCATCACTCTGCTCAGACCCTCCTTAGCTTCATGCAGCCTGGCCTCAGGGTGTATCCCACTGCACCCACCTCTTCCTCTTCCTGCCTCCCCTGGGCCCCTTCCACCCCCACGTCGGGTCCTACTTTCCCAGGAACTCACCGTGGGCCCTGCCTCGGGGCCTTTGCCCTGCTCTGGTCTGCCCACTGCTGTGTGGCATGGAAAGTGCTTCCCTGCCTGCCTTCCACGTCTTGCTGAGCACGCCTGTCCCACTTCTCCGGAAGCGCTGGGCCCCAGTCCTGCCTTCCCTCGGTAGACGTTGGCTCTGTGAGAACAGGACTTTGCGGCTGGGTGGCTGCTGCATCCCCCACCCCTGTGCACATGGGCTCTGGGCTAGCACGCTAAGGTGCCCTCACCCTTGCTGCATCCAGGAAGGAAGGGGCACCTGCCCTGGGACTTGGCCGGGTGGCTTTACCACTGGAGGTTCCAGCACGGGCAGGACTGAGGTGTACCCGGCCTGCTGCAAGCCGTGGTGTAGCGCAGAACTGGGGGCCTCGTTCCCCGAGAACACACACCCTGGCCGTAGCTCGGGGCAGGGAATGGAAGACACGTGAAATAGCGGGTTTTCTGGAGCCAGATCCCGTGGCGGGGAGTGGCTTCCTTGTCCCTAAATGCCCTGTTTATCTGCCCTGTTGGCTCCGGAGGCTGAGGCCAGGTGCTGGGAGAGGGGGTGGGGGATGGAGTTGCCCTTCCCTCCCCACCCTCTAGCCCACAGGTTGGGGCTGGGTGGGTGGGGGCCCCACAGCCTTCTGCTCGTCTGTGACAGGGCTGGGCAGCTTCCCTTCCTGTGATCCTCAGGAAAGATCAGGATCACATCATAACAAGCGACCGGAAGACACAGGAGGCGGCTACGCCAGGGTTTCTGTTGGAGCTGCTCCCCGGGCCCTTGCTGGCGGGGGTTGGCTGTTGATTGTGTTATGCTGGTAGAATTCTCATTTGGCTGTTGTTTGTGTGTGCCTGTTTTTATGCCTTATAATTAAAACATTTATTTGGCCTTCACAGTGAAAATCTAATTTCTTGAGTCTAAGAACTGCTGATCTTGGCACCGAGATGCCCGTCCGTCGGGCAAACAGACCCAGAGCTGTTGGATTATTCATAGCGTGGCATTTGCAGATCAGGCTGCCATGGCGCTAATCAGAGCTGATGTTTGGTAATTGATGTGCTGAGTAGGATTTTAGTGGGAGGGGGGTGCCACGTCGGTGAGTGACTGTGTGTGGCCGGTGGGGGCCCTTCTGGGCTGACTCAGCCGCGCTAATGGAACGGCCCCTCGGCAGCAGCGCGTCTGAGCGCCAGTTGTGTTTTGCCTGCTGCACCGTGCAAACGCGCTCCTTCAGTCCGCAGACACTCCCGCAGCAGGGTTTCTTCTCATCCCTTTCGTACAGATGTGAAAACAGGCTCAGGAAGGTCATTTTCCCAGGGACATTGATCAGGGGCATGACTGGGATTTGAACTCGAGAAGCCCACCTTGAGCGTTTGTGGTCTCGACCCCTGGGAGGGGTGCCTGGCACCTCTGTGTTCGGACCCTTCGGAGTCACCAGGGTGACCTCTGCCAGTAATGCTGTTTCTTCTCTGCTTTCTTCCAGACCATCATGGAGCAGTTCAACCCCAGCCTCCGGAACTTCATCGCCATGGGGAAGAATTACGAGAAGGCGCTGGCAGGTAGAACTGTGCCCTGGCCCTGTGGGGTGGGAGCTGCTTCCTGAGCTGGCACATGGACTTGGGCACAGCCTGTGGGGCCTGGTCAGGAGCGAAAGGTGGTCTTTTGTTCCAGCAACAAAGCCGGATAGCGGCTCTGAGTGAAGGTGTAGCCCGTGCACTCTGGACTGCGTCTGCCGTCACCGTGGCAGCATGCCCCTGCCTGTGCGGGCTGCTCGTGTCCCGTGGCATCTAGAGACGGGAGGGGTGCGGATGTCAGTCCCTCAGGATCATGTAGAAACTGTGGGATCAGGGCTGGGATGAAGCTGTTGGTAACCGTAGCAGCTTTGGCTTTGGGACCTGTGGCATCTCTCTGAGTGAACACCCTGCAGCTCCTTCTCACAAAGAGCCAGGACAGAGGGTGTGGGGGGCTGGTGGCTGCAGGGCCATTCCATTCTTCCCACTGTCTCCCTGGGACGCAGCCCACCACCCCCATCCCGCCCAGGTGCTCCGCCGCGGGGTCTTGGGTGCCCCTGCGTCTTTCCATCCTGGTGGGGAGTGGCTTCCTTGTCCCCGGATGCCCTTCTCACCTGCCCTGTTGGCCCCGCAGGTGCTCATGGCCGAGTCCGGCCATGGATGGGGACTTGCTGTTCTTGGGCAGTGACCCCGGTGCCCCTGCGTCCTCTACCATGTCTGTCCCTGTAACTGCAGCATCTTCATAGGCAAAGTCCACATCCCCTAGCAGGGAGGAGACCGTGTTTTCCAGGTCACGCACCGCATCTCCGCCAGCCGCCCCCGGCTCCTCCATGGCTTCCTGGTGTCGCGGCACCCATGGGCTGGGTGGAGTTGGTTGTCCAGTTTTGGTGCCAGGTTAGAGGTGGCAAGGAGGGGGCAGGAGTGGGTCAGCCCTTTTTTTTTTTTTTAACCACCTTTACTCCATTGTCACCTGGCACAAAGCACCCCAACCGAGCACCTGGCAGAAGGCCTGTCTCTGGCACTGCCCTCCTTCTCAGCTCCCAAGGTGGACCAGTTGTGTCTGCCTGCCACATCTAGCGGGGGGTGGCCTTCATGTTTCCTTGTGGGCATGAAGGGGACAGGGAGCTCCCTTGGGCCACCTCTGCTTGCACCCGGCACCCTGCAGGGGCCCCCATGGCTGCCCCAGGAACAGCCTTGTTTGTGTCCACCCTGCCCCTCCTCTACAGCCCTGGTCCCGGGGTTGCAGCCCGAGGGACCTGCTCGTCAAAATTCTTAAGGAGAGTCTTTCCTCTAGCGGAAGTCTGCAGGGTGTTTTTTGTTTTTGTGTTTTGTTGTTGTTGTTGTTGTTTTGAAGACGGAGTCTCTTTCGGTCTCACACTGTCGCCCAGGCTGGAGTGCAGTGGTGTGATCTCGGCTCACTGCAAGCTCCGCCTCCCGGGTTCACGCCATTCTCCTGACTCAGCCTCCCCAGTAGCTGGGACTACAGGCACCTGCCACCATGCCTGGCTAATTTTTTTGTAGTTTTAGTAAAGACAGGGTTTCACCATGTTAACCAGGATGGTCTTGATCTCCTGACCTCATGATCCGCCCACCTCAGCCTCCCAAAGTGCTAGGATTACAGTCATGAGCCTGGTCTGAGGCAGGGTTTTAATGACAGTGGAGATCCTTGGGCTATGGTAGTGACCCTGTCCCCCAGCTGGGAGCCTCTTGGACCAGGTAGTGGAAGTCGGCAGCAGAGCCTGTGGCCGCTCTGAGGGCTGGCGTGGCCTCCTGGTGGAAGTTGCACCTGGTTTGCTAGCCTGCGGTGCACCCCGGTGGTTGGGCAGCTTCGTGGGGATCCCAGGGAGAGCTGCCTTTGCCTCTGGTCTGAAATGTTGACGCTGGGAAGAGGCTCCTGAATCAGAGTAGGAAGGCTGAGGCCTGGCTCGAGGTGGGTGCAGAGGGCCTCCAACCATGGTGATCCCATGATCTCCAGGCACGGCACACGATGTCCAGATTCTCCAGGCCCAGCTAAGTTCCATGCCCTGTGAATGAGACCAGTTGTTCATCTCTTCCCAGCTGGGTCTGAATCTTGGGCATTACGATGGGAATCCAGGGTCCAGATGATCCCACCCTTGGAGATGGGGGCTGGTCTTGCACATTGCAGACTGACGATGGCTTCTTTTTCCCAGAGCCACTTGTCTGCAGGACACTTGGTGACCTCATCTATGGTAGTCTTTCACAGTCCTCACGGGGCTCTCTGAGGTGTGGATTTCTTCCCCGTCGTCCGCACGCAGGGAGGTGGTGTGGATGCCGCTTTCGGTGGCTTGCGGTGGGGGCCAGGGCCTGTGCTCCCCTCCTCTGGGTGAGCAGGCACTTCAGCCCTTTGATGCCACCAAGGCATGGGTTCCTTCTGAGCCTTTCTGCTCCTGCTTGGTTCCTCATGAGGGCGGCAGGGCTGAGTGCGGAGATTTAGAGCTTTACTTCCTCCTCCTGTTTTTCGTGATGGCCTCGCAGGAATGAGCTCAGCTGTCCAGGCAGCACGGCCACCTTGGCCACAGCCAGTGGCCCTGGAGTCTCACTTCCGCTGTTTCGTTTTTCTTTTATTTGAGGCAGCCCACCTCCCCCGAGGCACAGCCCTTCATTCCTCTGCAGACGTAGTCTTGTGCCGCAGAACAAATTGTGCGCACTGAATTGAAAAGTACATAAATAAAATCTGATCAAGTGCCCAGTTATAGGCGCCTAAGTGGGTTGTGTAGAAAACGGATTAGAAATTGTAATTACGCTGCTCTCCAGGGCCCTGCCTCGCCCTTTCTGCAGCCTGGAGGTCGGGGTGGGGCTCCTTGTCAGGTGGAGGAGTTTGCCAGGCGCTCCCTGGAGTCCCTGAGGAGGAAGCCCAGGCTCTTCCCGGAGCCTGCTCCACCCCTGTGGCTGGGGAGGAGTTCAGCAAGCCCGAGCCCTTCACGCCCACTTCTGATTAGATCAGACTCTGCCTCGGAGTTGATGGGAGGCCCCTCAGGCGGCGGCAATACCAAGTGATGCTTGGTGGGCGTCCTGGTCTGAGACTGAAGCAATGGGAAATAGTTCTCCCACTCCAGGCTTGGCTTGGGGATCTGTGGGGAAATGGCTTCCTACTGCCCAGCTCTGCAGTTTCCTTGCCCGGGGTTGGTTCTTTGTCTCATGAAATACACTTAGTTAGTGCAGCACTCCCCGCCCGCCCCCACCCCGCCTGGTAGCACGTGATAGGAATCAGCACTCTGCAATTTGACTTGAGTAGCCCAGGGCCTGAACCGGTAAGCTGTGTTCTTACGAGTCAAGGGAGCTCTCATGATTGGGGTGAAACAAGAATATCAACAAGAGATGGGTTCTGTCCAACCCAGAAATCACAGCAAGCCGAATGTTCTCCCAGCTTGTCTGGGCAGGAGACGGGGCTGGCCTGTGCATGCGAAGACTGCCATGTTTTTGCTGGGGAAGAGTCTTGTCCGTGCCTCATGGAGGAAATAACTGCTCCCTTTTTTCTCTCCCAGGTGTGACGTACGCAGCCAAAGGCTACTTTGATGCCCTGGTGAAGATGGGGGAGCTGGCCAGCGAGAGCCAGGGCTCCAAAGAACTCGGTGAGACCCCGCCTGGCAGTCGCCTGATGCCCTCAGGCAGCTCTGGGGCCCTGTCCTATGTCTAGCCGCTTTTTGATTTGACATCAGGTTTTGCCTGTCAAATGGGAAAATATTTGTCACCCTGGGAGCTGCCTTGAGGGGCACATCCTGCTGAAAGTGGGCGGTGGGTCCCGTCCCCTGAGACGTGCAGCTTAGGGTGAGGACGAGCAGGCAAACCCATGTTTAAAGGTGCTCCCGGCAAATTGGAGTGGCTGACATGGGGTCTGTGTGCTTGGATGATGGGATTAGATGGCATGGGAATTCATTCCTGCTATTAAAATGAGTGAAAAAGGATACAAGCCCACGTGCGGTGTGGCCCTGAGGAAGGCGCTCCAGCAGCGTGTCTGCTGGCTGACTGGCAGCTTATGTTATTGACGCTTTGTCTGTGTTATAGCAAATTTTCTGTGGTGGCTCCTACGACGTCTATGTCAAGGGACACAGGGCAAAACCTGGAAAGTCAGGGCCCGCGTGGTGGTGCTGCAGGCGTGGCTGAGGCGGAGTCCATGCTTCCACAGTCCCCTCACCTAGCTGGGTGGTGCTGAGGTCTCCTCTGCCCACCTGGGAGACCCCAGGCTGGCTGTGCCTGTGCTGACTTGCTGCTCCCAGAGCTTCCTCGACGCACGACGAAGCCTGAGTTGCTGGAGAAACCACTTGGATTCCTCTTCCCTCCAGTCACGGAGGACAGGCCGTGCTCGCTCTTGATTACCTCCCCGTGGCCGCCGATCTGGGAGGTGGTCTGCAGGTCTGGAGACCCTCGGATGGGGAAGCGTCAGTGGGACTGGCCCTGGTCCCTTTTTTCTACTTTTCTTTTTGGGGACTGATAGCCCCCTTGACTGACAGAGGCCCTGGATGTGTCGGCAGGCGGTGGGTTGGGGGGTCCTGGGTTGCTCTGTGTCAATTCCAGCTCCCAGAAGAGGCTCCATCTCCCTAATGCTGAGGCGGTGGGGCCAGGATCCCGGGAACCAGCTTTGCCTGCCCAGGCTCCGTTCTCTCCAGTTCGCTCTCGACGTCCTGCGTGCTTAGCAGCCCCTGTGGCCCCTCATTGGAGCCCCCTCCCCCCACCATGCCATTCCCTTGGGCAGGCGCGCTGGGATGTTTGCTGCAGGTCTGGTGATTGCTGGGAGTTTCTTTTTTCTTTTCTTTTCTTTTTTTTTTTGAAATGGAGTCTCACTCTGTCACCCAGGTCGGAGTGCAGCGGCACGATCTCAGCTCACTGCAATTTCTGCACCCTGAGTTCAAGCGATTCTCCTGCCTCAGCCTCCTGAGTAATTGGGACTACAGGTGCCTGCCATTGCACCCGGCTATTTTTTTTTTTTTTTTTTTTTAGTAGAGACGGGATTTCACCATCTTGGCTAGGCTGGTCTTGATCTCCTGACCTTGTGATCCACCCGCCTTGGCTTCCCAAAGTGCTGGGATTACAGGCGTGAGCCACCGTGCCGGCGCTGGGAGTTCTTTGAGGCACCGCTGTGTTGACAGACTGGGGAGGAGAGGAGGAAGCACTCTGGGCGGGGTTGCCGGGCCTCCACAGACTCAGCCTGGAGGGTGAGGTGTGAGATGCATGGCATTAGGGCGGTGGAGGCCGAGACTCCAGTGCAACCAACAGCAGCGTGCTCTGGAGCTCCCGGGCGCAAGCCCAGGCCTTCAGGGTTTGGAGAAGGGCAGAAGCAGTGGGCGTCTGTGAAACGGGCGTTTTCTTTTTCTTTAGAGACAGGGTCTTGCTCTGTCGCCCAGGCTGGAATGCAGTAGCACGATCACGGCTCACTGTGGCCTTGAACTTATGGGCTCAAGTGATCCTCCTGCCTCAGCTTCCCTAGTAGCTGGGACCACAGACACGCGCCACCACACCCAGCTACTTTTTTATTTTTGATTTTTTAGAGGTAAGGTCTCACTATGTTGCCCAGGCTGGTCTTAAGCTCCTGAGCTCAAGTGATCCTCCCACCTCAGCCTCCTAGAGTGCCGGGATTATAGGCGTGAGCCACCGCTCCTGGCCGAGTCATGGTCTTACCATCATTAACCGTTTGTTGGGAGATGAGCTGGAGGACCAGGTGCCTTCCTCCCTTGGTCGCATGAGGGTCTGCCTGTGGGGAACTCCAGGCTTTTGTGGCCCACAGTGAGGGGTGGGTACGTCCAAAACGGTGGGATTCCAGAACTTCCTGTCGGCAGAGTCCCTGGTGGTTGACTACAAGAAGGTGCTGAGCCCACATGGGCACGAGGAGGAGAAGGGAAGCTTCAGGAGGAGAGGGAGACGTGAGGACTCTTACTTGGATCAGGGAGCGTCCGTCTACCTGTGGCCTTGTGGAATCTCTCCCAGGGCTCTTCCTGGAGTGCGGAGCCCCGCTGTCCGTCTGCAGAGGCCCGCCACATGCCCGCCTGGCTCTGGAGTCAGGTTTTTTTCCTGGTAGCAGCTTTACTGACACAGTTCACATGCCATACAGTTACCCCATTAGAGCGCACAGTTCTGTGGCTTAGTGTATTTGCAGTGTGCACCTATTATCCCTAACTCCAAAGCGTTTTTATCACCGCAAAGCGTTTTTAGCACCCCCAAAAGAAACCCCGTACCCCTTAAGCAGTCCCTCCCTCATCCCCACACTCCCAGCCCGTAGCAGCCATGCCACCGCGTCTCTCTCTGGACTGGCCCGTTCTGGACATTTCGTATTAATGGAGGCATACAGTGTGTGACCTTCTGTGTCTGACCCTTTTCCCTGAGCGCGTGTTTACCGTCCGTCTGTGCTGTAGCCCGTGTCAGGGCCTTATTCCTGTTTGTGGCTGAACAATGAGCCATTGCATGGGCGGACCCATTTCATGTGTCTGGGGTTACTGTCACCTTTCAGCAGCTGTGAGCCTGTTTTCATCTCTCCTGCGCATGCACCGAAACTGGACTTGCCGGGTCAGATGGCTGGGAGTTGAGTTTTTATGAAAGCAACACATCCGTATTTGAAACAAAGTTGGCCCCTTCCCACCCTCCTAGGGTGCCCAAGTCCTGCAGCGCAGAGGCGGCTCCCTCGGCCGGCCGCGTGTTTAAGAGGGCAGGTTTATGCCACTCCCCCCTCCTCCTCCTCCCCCTCATCCCCCTCCTCCTCCCCCTCCTCCCCCTCCCCCCGCCACTCCCCCTCCCCGCCCCCCTCTTTAAAAGTTTAGACAGGGCCAGGCATGGTGACTCATGCCTGTAATCCTAGCACTTTGGGAGGCCGAGGCAAGTGGATTGCCTGAGCTCAGGAGTTCGAGACCAGCCTGGGCAACATGGGGAAACCTCGTCTCTACTAAAATACAAAATATTAGCCGGGCGTGGTGGCACGCGCCTGTAATCCCAGCTATTAGGGAGGCTGAGACAGGAGAATTGCTTGAACCTGGGAGGCAGAGGTTGCAGTGAGCTAAGATCGTGCCATTGCACTCCAGCCTAGGCGACAGAGCGAGACTGTCTCAAAAAAAAAAAACTTTAGACATTATCAAACAGATTCTTATTACAGAAGATATGGATTTAGCCTTTTTATGCTATCCCTTGTCCCACCCAGTATAATTATCACAATATTTGTTTAAACTCACGTACGGTGTTATCTGATGATATTAATTCTTTTCATGGCTAAGGCAGACACTGTATTACGATGACTCTACAACTTCATTGAGGTATCTGAGTGTCCAGTGTGATGAGTTTTGACGTGTGTATACCTGTGAAGCTGTGGCCACAGTCACCACAGTGAACTTAGTCTGTCTCTCCCAGAGTCCTTGGGCCCCCCCCCCCCATCTCCAGGCAACCACTGATCCGCTTTCTGTCACTGTAATTTAGTGTGCATTTGCTAGAGTTTTACATAAATGGAACCATACGGCGTGTCTTCTTCTTTTGTCCGGCTTCCTCGGGTGTGTGTGGTTATTCTGAGCCGCGTTGCTGCGGCTCACGTCAGGAATTTGTTGCATTTCATAGCTTGCAGGGTCCTGTTGTGCGAAAGTGCCACGGTTCGGTCGTACCCTCACCTGTTGACGGACACCTGGGTGGTTTTAGTTTGGGGCATTCCCAAGTTTGCATTTCCTTCATTAATGTCGTGGAACATCTTTTTGTGTTTTGTTCATCTCTCGTGGTGAAGTGTGTGTTAGAATCTTCCCCCTTTGTTCCACTTGGGCGTTTGTCTTCTTTAGTTATAAAAGTCCTCTGTATACTCTAGATGGAAGTCCCTTGCCAGGAATCTAGTTTGCACATATTTGATTCCAGTCTGGTGGGCCTTTCCTTTTTGTAATAGTGGTTTTAGTTTTTTTGAGAGCGAATCTCACTCTGTCACCCAGGCTGGTGTGCAGTGGTGCGATCTCGGCTCACTGCAACCTCTGCCTCCCAGGTTCAAGCGATTCTCCTGCCTCAGCCTCCTAAGTAGCTGGGATTACAGGCACCCACCACCACGCCCGACTAATTTTTGTATTTTTAGTAGAGACGGAATTTCACCATGTTGTCCAGGCTGTTCTCGAACTCCTGCCTTCAAGTGATCCTCCTGCCTTAGCCTCCCAAAGTGCTGGGATTATAGGCATGAGCCACTGCACCCAGCTCTGTAATAGTGTTTTTTTTTTTTTTTTTTTTTTTTTTTTGAGACGGAGTCTCGCTCTGTCGCCCAGGCTGGAGTGCACTGGCCGGATCTCAGCTCACTGCAAGCTCCGCCTCCCGGGTTTACGCCATTCTCCTGCCTCAGCCTCCCGAGTAGCTGGGACTACAGGCGCCCGCCACCTCGCCCGGCTAAGTTTTTGTATTTTTTTTAGTAGAGACGGGGTTTCACCGTGTCAGCCAGGATGGTCTCGATCTCCTGACCTCGTGATCCGCCCGTCTCGGCCTCCCAAAGTGCTGGGATTACAGGCTTGAGCCACCGCGCCCGGCCTGTAATAGTGTTTTTAGGACAAAAGTATTTAATTTTAATGAAGTCCAATGGACTGATTTTTTTTTTTTTTTTTGGTATTACCGTTTTTTTGGTATTGCAGGTCATGGA